AACAAACATCACTGCTCGATGCGAAATGGCTCAGTTATTGTATCTTAATCTTTTTTGCGATGACACAAGACAATTTAGTCCAAATTCTATCTCTGAAAAATTTCTATAACGCAACGATGCAGTCTAAAACTATCTACGCTGCGTAGATCTATCGAGTTTATCTCCTTTTTAAAATTAAGAACGAATTAGAAAAAAAATTATTTTGCCAAAAACGTCCTCAAATATACAATACAAACTGGTTCTATAGATAAATTTCTAATCGATCGAATTTAACATAGTTTATACCCTTATCTTTCGCCTATGAATGGTGAATATCACAACTTAAGAATCCTTTTCTGTGAAAAAGTTATCGAGAAAGTGTGAACAAAAATTCATTGTTGAAAGCGACACAAATTTAGCAACATATCATTAACACGAATATTAGCCTAATATATATTTTGAATGAAAAACCAAACAAAAATAGACCTGAAATACAGAAACAAACAAAACGAACAGCAATACTCATTTTCATCGTTAAAACAAAGCATACCTTTCACTATTTTATTTGCTATAGCAAATCATTAGAAATTTTCCAGCAATTAAGAAAATTCTAAGTTAAGAACTCGATCGGCGAATGAGAACTATAGTACATAAGGTGTGGAACATTCGAACTTTGAGCGCAATTTGTTTTCTACAATATTTATACATAATTCTAATTAGATAGAGCCTGTCGAGCTTCGCAAGTGCATGTGTTTTGTAATTCAAGAGAAACTTTTGAGGACGAAAGTTCAAAAAAAAAACATTATCTTTAAAATTCCTTAACACCATTTTAATTTTGCAAATGAGTGAAACTCTATTGTTGATCTTTGATAATTTTACTAATATAGTATTTTTATTCAGTGCTTCGTTTTAAATAAAAATAAAATATTAGTAAAATTATCAAACATCAGTAACAGATATTCACTCGCTTTCAAAATTGAAACGGTTTTAAGAAATTGTAAAGATAATATTTTTTTTTTTGAATTTTTGTATTCAACGGTTTTTTTAACGTATAAAATACATGTACACTTGCTAAGCTCGACGAACGCTGTCTAAGTATAACTATACATAAATATTGTAGAAAAAAAATACACTCAAATTTTGAATCTTTTGCACTATACAAATAATAATCGACACTAAAATCTACATTCATTTTACAATACGCCAACTTTTTAGACCGATTTAAATTACATGAAATCTTTTCGTTAATTCTAAATTAGTATAACAGAACGAAAAAAATAACGATCGATCACATCATATAGTATATTCACGAATCATAAATTTTGACAGCGACATCTATCAAAACATTCATTTCTGTGTTTTTCGACATATATTTGTGATTCTCATTACTTCTGTATTTGAAAAACAATATAATTTTTGGAAAATATTATATTATTACCTTATTATTCTATAAAACCGAACTAAACTACAAAACCGTCGGTAAACCGCGGTTTACCGGCGGTATTATCGAAACCGCGGTAAACCGGCGGTATCTATAAAACAGTGATGACATGGGTTCATTAATGAGTTTTATTAACATGTATTTTTCGTTATGAACATAGACAGTCATCATTTCATTTTCCTTTTTCTTTAATATCAACGTCGTTATGTTGTTGTTTATGTTCGTCAATATTCGTGAGATATTATTATTTCAATGTAATAAATCAAAGTTTAAAAAAATTCTTAAAGATAAAAAAAGCATTGAAGAATATGTTAATCGTGAGAATCCTCAATAGATTCAACTAATGAAAGAGAATTATAGATGTCACGCTTTAAATAACGTCATATAATTAATTATTATTATTTTTACATATTAAAAAAAACCTATATTGTGTTAGAAATAAAAAAATCTAATTATGAGCGACATCTTTATATTACAAAACCTTTATTTTTCTAATGGTACTTCAGCTATATGAAAATCATTTTTCTTCTTCTATTAATTTTTTTGACGTAAACACCTCTTTTCGCATTACTCACGAAAGATAAAAAAAGGAAGCAACTGCAGTTACTCATAAGTTTTTATTTACAAGCATAAAACAATTCACATTATTTGTCATAGACTTTTCTCATTAAATAAGTATTTTGTTCGTATATAAAATAGGATATTTCGTAAGTCTGATAATGCTTTATTTTCATTTTTATTTGTTAAAGAAACAATTTATTTTTAAGAATTGTTTAATATAATGAATCAAGATCGAAACATGTACAATAATCCTTATTCACCATACGAAGGTAATCCAACATACTTGACTCAAGAACCAGCTGGATATACGGCATATTCCCCTTCATCTGGTATTCGCTTCACTATAAATGACTTTTATGCTTCATTTTATGTATTCTAACAGGTAGTACATATGATCAATATGAGATGCCGATTCAAAGTCCTCCTGTAGCACCACGTCCAAACTTAGCCAATGGTGGGTTTTATTTCTAATAGATAAAATTATTTTGTAACTTATTAACAACTTCTGAATATACAGATGCATTTTCAAATTTTAAGTCTTTGAAAAACAAAGATTTTACTTAGGATATAACTAGTTTTTATATTTTATTTTTATTATTTTATTTTGCAAACAAACAAAATCACTCTTATACTCTAGTCATATTTATGATTTCTCATGACATGAGGAGTTATCGTATAAGCATTTTGAAAAACGATACAATTCAAGTTGGATACCAATAACAATAGCAAAGAATGATTTAAACTTACAACCTGTTTTTCGCAGTAAAAATTTTCTTTTATAAACAGAATGAAATCTATTCGAAATGTTGCTTTGCTTCTAATTGTTACCAAAGATTATGGTAGATCTTGACATAAGTATCGTAGTGTTTGTCTTTTTTTGCTTATGTATATTATTTAGCTGTATTATCTTCTTTACATAATCGAGAGTTACTCTTGTTCACAGCCTTTGCTCAATTACATTTAACTTAAATAAAAATTGAGAACCATTTTGAACATTCAGTAAAGTACAATACTTATATACATATTCTTCTGACATGTCTAAACATAGATAAATACTTTATCCATGATCTTTATGTTTCTTATATCTTGTCAAAATGATTATTTTTCGATTTACGTATATGATGTAGGAAGATTCTTATCACATTTAGCTATTTCATATATCCTCACATGAAAAATAACGTTTAACAGGAAATGCAACAAGATTGATTAGTCAATATTAACATATAGTATCAGAACGAAGTTCTTTTTATAGATAAACATTAAAAAGACAAAAGTGATGGACAACTTATTGTCAACAGTTGCATATCTATTTTTGTAAGCATGACTACATAGTATGCTGTACAAAACTTGCCAAGTCAAATAATGTCTAGTCGATGTTAGGAGAACTGCTACTATCTTGTTGTTTATCACGAATGGCAAAGAGCTACAAGCTCAACTTACGAATATAGGAAAAAAAATATTTGATCGTAAATGTCAGTAGACATTAGTGTTCGACATGGGTCATTTTTTTAGTGACCCGACCCGACCCGACCCGAGTTTTTTTTTCTGACCCGACCCGACCCGACCCGAGGGTAAGAATTTTTTTCAAGATCCGACCCGACCCGAGGATAAGAATTTTTTCAAAACATGACCCGGTCCGAAGGCAATTTTTTCCTATATGTACATATCGGTTGTGCTTAAAAAATTTTTTTTTTCTTTCGCCTATCATGCATATATATATATATCAGTCGATCGCTTTTCTTTCTTTTGAGCAATTCAATTTGTCAGTTCCCTTGTTTTTATTTTATTGCGCATTTAAAAAAATAAGGACATGTCCTTGGTCTTTTCTTTGTTTTTATGTATCACTGATATTGTATAGTTGGGGCAACAAAATCATCTGATAATACTTCAGCGTTTTTCTGCATTCATTTATATCATGTACAGGATTTGAGACTATTACATCTCTCGATAAAATATTATATACTTACTATAAATGCTCTTAAGATATCAATGGATGGAAAATGATGAAATAACACAAAAGATGATATCATACATGCTGCTTTGTTATATCTAATTGTTTGTTGTGAGATCACAGAACTTATAAACAAAAAACTAACATGTTTTTGTTTCTGAAAAATACGTATCTGACCCGACCCGACCCAAGCTTCCAATGATCCGACCTGACCCGACCCGAGCTTCCAATGATCCGAGCAGACCCGAGATTAAAAAAATTTTTCTGACCCGACCCGATCCGACCCGAGACGAGTCGAATACTGGTAGACATTAGCTCCAACAACAATCCACTAAGCTTCCTAGACCGACCTATATGACTTTTTGTGTCTTTTCTTTAATCCAAAAAAACAAATGAGTCAGAATTCTTCTCTATCAGTAATAAATATCCTGTGTAACTGTTTAAAATACTGACTAAGTGTCGGATTCGAATATCTTATTTCGACAATAATATTTTCTGTAATTTTTTAAAACATACTTAACGCTTTGAAATATATAAATTCTTTACATAAGATAAAGTTCGTTGAGTTCTTCCTTGAAAAGGATGCAAACTGTAGTTTGTTGTAATTATGTACTTAGATAAAAAGACAATGAGGTAGTCTCTGCTGAAACTCTTATTTGAATGCTTTGTTGATTTATCTAAGCAACCATTATTTTTCAATTATTGATGAAATGTTTATTTTTTTATATAGATAATGAACAAAGAGCAGGCCAGTGGGGAGATTTTACTAGTCTTGACAATAAAGAAATTCGTCGTGTGTTTATACGGAAGGTTTGTGTGATTGAAGTTTACAAAAATAAAAGTTTTTCTTTTGAAATTTCATATAAAACAGGTTTATATAATTTTAATGATTCAATTGTCGATCACATTCGGTCTTATTGCATTGTTTCATTTTACGTATATTTCGGTTTTTTTTAAAGAGAAGCATTGAAAAAAGAATATTTGATACGTATTGTAGACCACCCATTCGTGATTATGTCAGAAGTTCGAATGGTCGATGGCTTTATTTCACATCGTATGCTGTTTTTTTGGTAACTTACTTTGCATTGATTTGTTCGAAACGTGCAGCACGAAGATTTCCACTTAATCTTATTTTACTCGGCATTTTGGTAAAATAGTAAATAAAAGTAACTGAAATAAAGATATTATTTTTTTTAAATTTTAGACTTTATCAATGGGTTATATGGTATGATCTGATTTAAATATCATCCATTAATTTCTTTCTAAATTTAGATGGGCATGATTTCTGCTTATTATAAAATCGAATCTATTTTAATTGCTATAGGCATAACGGCATTTGTTTGTTTGGGTGTTACATTATTTTCATTCCAAACAAAATATGATTTTACGTCATGTTTTGGTGTTCTTTTTGTTATTTCGTTGGCACTTCTTGGTTTTGGAATTGTTTGTGCTTTTACCTATTCAAGAGTGAGCATCTTGACAGAAGAAATATTAGTATTTGTTTCTGTTTTAAATATTTTTATTTGTTTAAGATATTATATACAGTCTATGCTGGTCTTGGAGCTGTGGTTTTTTCCATAGTGAGTTTTAATATATTGAGAAATTAAGCAAAATTGTTTTTTATTATTAGTTCTTAGCTGTTGATACACAATTAATTATGGGCGGAAAACGACATGAAATAGGTGCTGAAGATCATATATTTGCATCACTTATGTTATATATTGATGTTGTTTACATATTTTTATACATTCTTATGTTAATCGGCAAACAAGAGTAAAATTATCATTTAAGGACGATCTACAAACAATTCTTTTACTTAGGTCATACCAAAAGTAGTGAGCCCTCCCCCTCTTAATTTCGTATAGACTGCTCGGAAAAAATTTCTTTTCTTATGAATAGATAGAGCGTCTTTTACTCTATCTTTCTATGCTATTTGATCACTATTCAATCAATATCATAATAATAAAATTATCATAAAACTGTTTTTTATGTCACTTCAACTGGTTACAATAGTGCATATTATCATCCATGCATGTTTTCTTTTTGTTTTTTCTTTTCACTTTTCTTTATTTTTCTCTTCTTTCTCTTATCTCTTCTAATAACTAGCCGTCTATATATTTTACAGCACAAAAAAATAATGGTGATGAAACAGAAAAGAGATACAGAAACAAGTTCAACCATTGTTTATTTTATCAAATGTTCAAAATAATCACCTTGGTTTTCTAGACACAATTGCATTGTTTGAATCCATTTCTCAAAGGTTTTCCTATATTCTTCTTTATTTATAGAGTACATAAAGTCGCTCACAGCATCATATAATGATTCTGAATCACTTTGATCAGTTAGATTTTCTTTAATTAAGTCGAACCACCAAAAATCACATGGTGATAAATCTGGAGAATTAGGTGGATGTGGTATTATTGTGATACCTTCCGATTCAAGATAATTGGACACATCTTTATGAGCATGTGGCCTTCCATTATCATAGTGAATTTTAATATAATGAGTGCCACATGGGAGTCTTTGACATTTGATTTCATCGACGACAGGTCGCAAACAATTGTTGATGTAATACTGGTGATCAATAGCTTGCCCTCGTTTCACACAATGAATGAAGACAAGACCATTTGACTTAAAAAAGATGGAAAATAAGCTTTTTGGAGCAAATTTATCGCGTCGAACTGCAGTAGGTGACGGATCTTCTCTTATCACCCATGCTGCATTCGATGACTTTCGAACAAGTTGCCTATGATAAAACCACGACTCGTCACCAGTTATTATATCACATAAACGCCATGTACCTTCTTGAAGTTCTGCTAAGTTTTGTTTGCATATTCGAACTCTTTCAGCCCGTTGAAAATCAATCAGATCCTTGGGTATATAACGAGCGGTAACCTTCTAAAGGTTTAAATGATCGGTGATGATTCGCTGAACGGTGCCATGACTTAAACCAGTTTGCTCTTGCACCTCTTCTATTGTAATGTGAGGATCATCATCAATAAGAAGGCGGACCTCTTCAATATTTTCAGATGTTGTTTCGGTAACAGGTCTGGGGTGTGGGTGTTGCTAAAGAGAAGATTTACATACACACCCACATTCACGCACACCCCCACTCACACCCCACACCCACACACCCACCCCCACTCACACCCCACACCCACACACCCACCCCCACTCACACCCCACACCCACACCCACACACCCTTTTCGAATCCTTTCGCTGAATCTCTGGAACTTCTGATGCTAATCTCGATGACATAGTATCGGTATTCGCTGTATTCAGGTTGAAGGCCTCCACTGGCGCGAGTTAAATAATTTCTGACCTGATTTCCATCGTGGATGTTTTTACTCAATGAATTCAAAATAATAAAATATAATCAACGTACAATCTCAACGATAAGCAAATCAATGCGAGCTGTGCAGCTGTTGACGCAGAAAAAGAAGAAAGAGAATCGTTGTGTACATATTTACACTGCGTTTTGAAAGAAACAAAATATCATCGCTCGAGATTTTTTCCCATACTGAGATTGTTGATAGTACGAAGACTTAGTATAGAAAAACAAAAGACATGACATCAATCATAAAAAATTCTGTCGCCGAAAGCAGAACATTACTTAACCACCCTCCTTCCATTAGAAACAATCTCTGAAAGTCTGATCTGCAAGAATTACTATAAGTTCCTCTTTATTTGATGAAACTTTTCAGTGTTACATTAATCAATGTACTTTTTGGGAGAATTAGTATTAAGTAATATTATTTTAAACACTAGTACTGCTTCAAAACTAATGCTAAAGTGTTAATTAATTCTTCTAATATTAACACAAAAAGCATTAAGGCATTTTTTTAACACTAACGCGAAAGCATGTAAAAAGAGAATTAAACTAATTCAATGCTATGACTAAGTCAACATCTCTATTTCTTTCTTTCTTTTTCTTCGTTCCTACCAACACAAAAAAATCGCCGACAATCTCTTCCATTATTTTCATATTCCATTGTTCATGTCTCGATTCTTCAGTGTTGCTGTTCATTGTTCTTGCTCATGAGAGCGAGAAAGCCTTGTAAAATTATGATGTTTTTCGCATAGAATGGCTACATTTCTGAGAAATGAAAAACAAAGAAAACAAAAACTCCAAGTTGCACAAACAATCTAAAAGAAGTTTGCAACAACTTTTATACGTTTTGCATTTCACTTCGGCTGGGTCTACGTCGGGATATTTATTTCATGCTTACGCGCCCACAGCCTCGGACGGAGGACTGGTCATCTACTTCAAAGTGTAATGCTTCTGCGAAAATATATCCTATTCTTAGCCGCAGTGTGCACTGTGGATATGGATGGCTACGAAGGAAAATAACAATATCAACACCTATACCCGTACCCACACTCAGCCACATCCTTCATTTAAAAAACTGACTTCCAGAGATACTTTCACTAGTCTTCTAGTTGTGAAGGTAAAGCAGTTCGCCTTCCGTAGCCTTACTTTTGACAAAATAAACGCATTCATCCCTCGTCAATAAATAACATTAAAAATTTTCTTTCATCACTCTTCTGTTTATTTCTTTTTTCCTTTTTTCTTCTTTCTTACTAACGCAAAAAAAATCGTCAACGATTTCTTTCATTATTCTCATACTCTACTGTTCATGTCTCGATTCTTCAGTGTTGTTCTTAATTGTTCTTACTGATGGGAGTGAGAAAGCCTAGTAAAACTATAATGCTTTTCACCTAGGATACCTACGTTTGAGAGAAATGACACAAAACGAAAAAACTACAACTCGCAGAAACAGATTAGAAGAAGCTTGCAGTGTGTGCGTGTGTGACTGTGAAGAAAAGGAAGACACATTCAAAGCCATCCACACACACATCCACAACTACGACAGCATTCCACACCCACACCTAGATTCACACCCACATCCACATCCACACCCCACACCCACACCCGCACACCCACACCCACACCCACACCCACACCCACACCCACCCACACCCACCCACACCCACCCACACCCACACTCATACACCCACACACCCACACCCACACCCACACCCACACCCTCTTGAAAATGAAATATTGATATTCAAGTTTCGATTTTATGCAGAAAATGAAATGAAACTTCTATTATTTAGAAAAACAAGGATTTTCTAAATAATAGAAATTCGATGAACGAATTATAAAAGTTTGACTAAATGCTTTAGATTATTCAAAGTCGATTTACTACAAAATAGAATTAAAAAAAAACTAGTGTATAAAGGTTTCATTCAATCTAGTGCTTCTTTCATAGTTTTATAATCGAAATATAGGCACTTGATGGAATCAGAAAATGTGGATCTCGGATTTGAGTGTTGTGCAAAGAATTAAATGCTTTAGCTCAAATATAAGTATGATGCAAAACCTTTCAACGAAAAAGTTATAGCTTAGATGATGAGTTGTAGATAGAAACAAAATAGTTCAAAATATATGGCAGCGAGAATTCACATATAGAAAATAGCGTCGTAACAGAAACATGTTTTTTAAATGTTGATTCTTTCACCAATGTTATTTCTTGAGAAACTTAATTGTAATTCATGCAAATGAACAAGTTGATAACATGTGAGGAAAACAACAGTTAAGAAAAAGACGTCTAGCATCGTCCTTCTGGTAAAGTAGAAATTAAATTATAAAAGCACGAATTGGGTACTTTTATGATTTTCTACAGAATAGCTGGACCTTTATGTAGACAGGTCGATAATACACTTAATTCAGATAGTAACCTTGTTTTCTGCAATGTCTACATCACTATTAGAATAAGGCATTAGAGTACCTGATACGTCTTTTCATTTCAGCACTCTATGAATCCATCATCACTAGTCGAAAGAATCGTCTACATTAACTATAGTAGAGATTTTCCCACTTGGATTTTCACGAGGCATTTTTGAAAGTACATTTTAAGCTTCAATGGTTTGACTGTCTCGAGATAGTATATGAAAGATAAATACTACCACAAAATCTGTTGTTCATTTCGATTTAATGGCATATAAAAAAATCTCGTGCATATTCTCTTTTAGGTTTTTGTAAAATCCATGACAGAATATTATGGAAACCTTGTGAAAGAGTTGTCATAGAGAATTTAACGGTGCAATTTTTGAAAAAAAACTTGAGAATTCATGATCTGTCTTTACTGGAATATTAGCAAGATATGCAATGTTGCAATCATTTTCTTCCACCCTAACAAATATTTCATTCATGAAAAATTTATTTATTATAAATAGTTTTATCGTGCCAAAATCAAAGTCAACTTATTAGTCATCGTTATTACCACTCCATGGAGAACATCCATAGTTTGCTTTGTAATTTCCACCATAGCCAAGCCCATAATCAACCCACCCATTGTCATCGTCATTACCATCGTTATAATCATCGTCATAATAATTATTACAATAATGGTTACTGCCATATCCACCCATAACTCCAGAATACAATGAATAATTGTTTGTTGTTCGTTCCACGTCTAAAAGACATAAGATCATATTTGATTAAAATCACTTGAAATTTCTATCAATGAATGCTATTCACTATATTTCATATGTATCCCGTGTAAACTAGAGACTGGGCAAGTACAAGTACAGCAAGTATGAGTACAAATACTTTTACTTTGCAAGTGTACTTTGGACGTCTACTTGAGTACGATTTAGTCAAGTACAAATGTACTAAGTAAATTGTACTTAAATGAAGATACTAAATACCAATATACCGAAGAAATATTTTAATAGCTGTATATCACATATATTGACTCAGGTTTAGACTTCTGAGACCTTTATTTTTGTACTTTGTGAAAGTCTATAGTAAAAAAAAAAGATTCTCGATAAAAGCGATTGAACTATTATAAATATTATACGTAGCTATTATGTTTCATGCATCATTATTATGAATAGAAATGTATAGGTAAACATCATCGAAAAAAAGAGCTTGAGAGCGCAGTCACCTTGGAGCTAAAATGTGGAGCTGGCATTTATCTTTTGACTTTGTTTAATGAATACATAAGACTGCATGTAAAATATCACTCGTGGATTGGTTGTTTTGCAGGAAAATGAATTATCATAACAGGCGCTTTGATTTCTGCATTTCTAACTGAAATTTGTATTTTTCTATGAATGAGCGCTCTATTTTCTCGCACTGCTCCTATCTATTTTTTTTTTTATTAAATGAATGTTGCTATCAATGTAATCATTATATCTGTCAGGAGAAGACTACGTCTGATTTAAATATAAATGATATATACAGTAGACCACTATTATATACCTTAAGGAATTCACCAACAATGATATTCATTTTCTTTCCAAAGTATTACTTGATGGACTTTACAAAAAAAAATGTAGAAAGTCTAACGTCTGTTCGCCTTCATCACCAAAGTCTGTAATAGAAAGGATAAGATGTGTAACAGCATAGGAGGTGTCTGTAATGCGACCATACACTAGTTCCTTGTGTTTCTAATGGACTTTTAGCTAATTTGTTATGTCTGTAAGTGGTGATACATTAGTTGCTGGTGCTTCTACTGGCTAGATACCGCGTTTTTCTATTCTTTGGAACGAAAATATTGAGAAAGTTGCATTCTAATTAGCTTAATTACTTATTAACATTATATCTAATTGGTTTAATGTCTACTTAGTGTACAATGAATAATTATTTATGCCCGTAATAGAGAGGCGAACCGCAAAGCTTCCCTTAAAACTATGTTAGTTCTACAAGACTAGAGCATTTTATGTACAGACTGGCGTGTAACAAACAGCAAATAACTTCGTTCGTATCGCTATAACATCACAAAACAACATCTTTTTTTTTATCTAATATTATCTTTTGGGCATATGTGGGTAAGGTAACTAAGAGAAATATCCCCACATCCCATATACAGTACCTTTAAATAAAAATCTGAACAAAACTCTGTGTTGTAGAAGCAACTACGTTCGAGTAGAAATTAAATTTTCAAAGAAGTGTTTCCTCAAACCAGTTGTAGCTAAATGAACATGACTGAAAAATTAATACGACCAATTAGTAACGACATTAAAGTACATTGTACTAAGTACCCACTACTTAAGTAAATTCGTACTTAATACACCTAGAGAGTAGAAGTAAATGTACTGGTACTACAAAAATGTACTTGGTACCGGCAATATTCAAGTAAAAAAATACAAAAGTAGCAAGTATTATACTCAGTATCCAGTGTCTGGTGAAAACAATCATTGCCTGTAAAACTAAAACATCATTTGAAGAAAATGGTCTCCACTCACATGCGTATTCGTTGAAAGATGGATATTCTGTTAGATCAGTTGCATAACATTGATTAATAAGTGTTCCTAAATGACATTGTATCCTTTTGAAAAGTGGATGAAGTTGTTGGATAACATTAATATAGACTTGCTCATTCCATGCATGAAAATATAATTCACAATCAAATTTTCGTAGATGAGGTGTATGGATACGAAAAATTTTAGTCAATTTTTCGAAATGTTCCAAAACCGATTTCTCAATAATCTTTCCCTTGGCACGCAGATGTTTTAGATTAGGCATGCACGGAAGTATCTTCTCGAGATCATTGGATGGATGTTGAAGGGTAATACGAATATGTTCAAGTGAAATGAAATGCATGTTGAAATGCAATGATTCATGGATAGAATCTAAAAAATTCGTTTCAAATCGACGTAAATTAGGTAGGAGATTGAGTAAAGGACAGAGGTTTGAACCATCCCATGTGTTCAGGATAAGCGTAAGAATTGTATTATTTGATGATTGATAGTGATCGTTAAGTTCTAGTATGTAGGAAAATTCTCCTGAAAATTGACAAAATGTCAGTGATGGAAAATGTTCGCTATCAAGAACGGAAAGTAATAATTCCTTCGTGTAGCAATGTGGAATATTATCAATAGATAATCGTTCGAGATTTGGCAGATGAACAGTGAGCACCTATAATAACAACAATAATATAAGTTAGTACTTTTGCATTATTTTCTCGATGTATAGAAAACAACACAAAGTTGTTCGACTTACCTGATCAAATTGGTTTTCCGAAAGATAATTGCAATCGAGTTTTAACGAATGTAACTGCGTATATCTGTGTAAATTAAATGCGACCCAACGATATCGTAACTCTAGGCCAATGAACTGACTGAGAAGAAAACGTTTTAGATAATTGAAATTCTCTTCTTCCCCTTCTTCTTCTTCTTCTTCTGGATATTGAATGATAATGTTTAGTTTTACGTCATGTATAATACTATTAATCCGTTGATTGTGTCCTATGAAACTGAGAAGATCTATTGATTTCACATATTTGAAGACTTCAAGAAGGATTTCATCAGGAAGCATTTCAAGTCGACTTAATTTCGAAAATCCACTATCATTCATCGTCGTGATAAATTTTGTCGTCGCCAAAAACTCCAACCTATTTTTCTGCTGCGCCCCTACAAGTTTTTATATGTTATTGCAAAAATACCCACTGCTATTACTCATCAAAAGAATTGCAAAATATATATTTATATGCTACGAAAGAATTTTCATTAATAAATCAAATCGTTTGATTGACCCTTAGAAATTTCATAGTAATACTCAAATCATACATAATTTTAATTTAATAACCTGAAAATGCAATTATTTATGGGGTTCGCTACGCTCTATGTGTTATATAGTTGTTAATTTGATAAGGTCTTTTCCTTGTTGGTTTTTATTTTAATATTTTTCTTTTAATTAAGATATTTAAAAAAATATAGAATAATACGATTTTAATTAACTTTAAATAATTTTATTGTATTTGATTCGAATAAATCAAAATCAAACTGAATTAAAGAATTATAAAAATTTTAAGGATCTGAGTGCTGGTTTGATGATGCACGTGAGGATCTGGATCTGCACCTGGGTGAAGTTGGTTGTTTGGTTGGATGTGGGAGTCTGGGCGTCGATGAAAAGGAGAAGTGCTTCCATGCGCACACTCTACTCACACCCTCACTTTCATCTAAAGCCGATCACTAATTACCGTCATGTAAATAAAGAAAATAATTTGAAATTACATTCATAGGCTGGAAAATAATCATGATCTTGTCAAAGTTGTTGCATTTGATCCATACTATCTTGATGGCTTGGTTTTGAATGATGTTTCCTCTTTTATCTATTATTTCTTGATACAAAAAAGTTCCAAATTTGGACGTTCTTCGTTTTCCATTTGTTTTAAATTTAATAAATCCAATAAGAATTAAAACAAAACTAAATTAAACATTTACAGCAAGCTAAACACGATATACGTATTCTTTTCTCATTCCTCATTCTTTAAATTGTTGTTCATATTTTCAATGGGAGAGTGTGGGTGTATGTTGTCGGTATCGATATTGGTATGTTGGTGTAGGCTTTTCTCTCTTCTATTCATCTACAGCTGTACTCACACCCTTTTCGACAGCATACAATTCTCTTCGACGAGTGGTTGGGCAATTGTGTGGCTTCGGCAAACGCTTACGATGACCGTAACTCATCATAAATCGTCGTTTGTGACAGTCTTCAACGGTCATGGTAAAGGTTCGCTCTTTTTTAGCGCGATTAATGGATGAGGGTGTGGGCGTGGGCGTGGGTGCGGCTGTGTGGAAGGTGTGTGTGTTGTTAAAGAAAGATACAACAACTACACCCACATCCACTCTCACACCTACACCCACACCCACACCCACACTCACACCTACACCCACATCCACTCTCACGCCTGCATCCACATCCACACCCACACCCTTATGGATAGCAAAGCAAAAGACTAGATATATCACTGAGAAAGAAATAGAAAAAGAAATAAAAAATGAAATACAAAAATGAAAATAGACGGCGAGTTGTATCAGTGCGACATCACGGTAACATACTTCTCTATTGAAGAAAGAAATATGTCCAATCAACATTTTTTATATATATAATAAACAAAGATATGGATGGAGAGTATTAATATCACAACAAAAGGATAACGAACTTTTAAACGATAGATGTAAACAACAAAATAGTTTATAAATAAGTAACAAATAGAAAATCACATATAACATGAAAAAGAAAACAGTTTATTTACTGGTACAAAATGACAAAAATATCGAATAGATTTGGACATAATATATCTGGGTATGTTAAAAAAATAAAAGTAGAAAAATAATTTATGAAAGACATGTTTTAGTTCATGATGGAGTTATATATCAAGTACATTGACGTCGATCGGTTTTTTTTATCTGCAATTGTTGTTCCATTTTTTTAAACTGCCAATGCGGATTATCAAATGAATACAAATAAATAAATAATAATTAAATTGATATTCTTTTTGTTTTTATTTGGTGAAGTTTCATTAATCGTAATTGCGACCATGATTAGGACGTCGATGATAAGATATTGTTATTTGTTTTTCTCGTCGATATTCTTGGTAATGATCTCCGGTAAATAAACTTTGTGTTTGAATTTTATATAATGATAATTTAGACGGATCACATATTCCAATATAGAATGTTCGTTTATTTGTGGTTGATGAGGTTGAAGTATTGACGACGGAAAAGGAGATATTCTTGTGTTTGAAAAAATTTGAGTGAATAGTTGAAACGGCGGATCCTGTATCAACAATTGCTTCCGTTGATTGATCATTAACACGAATCTTAATGTAAACGGGATATGATGTTAGTGTTGATGGCTTTATAAATTTACTGGGAACACCGCCATCATGTGACCCAGTTATTGAAAATTTGGAGGTAATGTACAATCACGAATATTATGATTATGACCACAATTAAAACATTCGGTTGTACGTTTATAATAACAATCAATTGTGCGATGATTCTTGCGACCGCAAACTTTACAGTTGTCGTATTGATGTTGTAATGTTAGTCGACTATTGATTGGTTTCTTTTTTAATATCGATTGTGGTGAATAATTTGGAGTTTGTTTTCTATCAAGTGCCATTAATGTTTGGTTTCCAAGTATTGGAATCGAGTTCCACTGAGAAACGCAGCTCTGTGATTGTGTTGGATTGAAACAGAATTGTTGTGCTTCATGTTATGATAATATTGTTTTTGTTGACTAATTGTAGCAGTTAATGATGGAATTGATGAGTGATTATAATTAAAATGACGTTATTGTGAATCAAGTGATAGGTTACCAAATGTATCATATGAATCTTGTTCAATTTTTGCGTATTTTAAAAATTCATTTAATGTATTGATAGATAATTCACATCTTGATAATTCCTTCCGAAAATCAGGATTAATTCCACTCTTTAAATGTTGAATTATAATTTTTTCTGACATATTTGAATCAATTTCCCGGCATAAATTAATAATATCATCGAAATAAGAAGTAATCGGTTCATTCGGTAATTGTTTACTTTATTTTAATGTATCAAATTTCTTATGAGTTGATGTTGAAGAAAAATGTCGATTTCGAAATGTAGTTTCGAAATCCGACCATTTTTTCAAATTAGGTTCATTATTATCGAACCATATTCCTACTGATTGAATTAATTTACTATGAACAATTTCTAGAATTTCCTGATTAGCTGATTCATCAGTTGCTTTGTTTATATTCTTAATGCTTTTTAAAAACCGTTCTACATCCTCAGAAGAATGTCCAGCAAAATTTGGTAAAGCATCGAATCGTGCTTTAAGAGCTTTTACTAATAATATTTGATCAGCCATTTTACGTATATCAATTTCTAATGTTTCTATTTCGATTGAATCAGTATGTGAAAATGTACGAGATGTTGAATTCGTAATAATGGTATATGGGAATAATTTGCTATTATTTTTCTTAACTTGAAGCCTTGTTTCGGAAGTCGTTATGAAACTATTATGTATAAGTATAAGTAAATATAATGGCAAGTAATTCAATAATTGAATAAAAACGAATCAATTTATGGATAGCGAATAATTGAATGAAAACTGAACGAAATTCTTTTTGTCGAATTTCTGATTATAGTTTATTTGTATAAAAGAAAAGTGACGAAATTCTATATTAGGATTTCTGTTTATGTTGATCATTGCCTTTTTTTTGTTTTTTTCTCTATGTGATTTGACTTGTTAAAAGAGAAAATGTTCCGGGAAATACATTCCAATTTTATATGTTTGAAAATATTAAAACGGTTTACTGGAAAGTATCCCTTATTTTATCGAGTTAATTCTTTATGAAAATGAAGAGACGTTGTTTTACCTAATGGTTGAATTAATATTTAATGAAAAAGTTATCCAACCGAGTCTATATTTCGAGGCTCTTATGCAATTAATTTCCGAGTCTCTTTTTTTAAATTAGAGGCTCTTTAATGTTTCGATTGATTTCAAAATTAAAATAGAAGATGAAGATGAATTGTTGTTGTTGTGAATATTCGTTTTGTCCAGGGTCGCCAATTGTTAGCGTTTGTTCTTTTGGATCAACGCTAAGTTCGTTTTCTTTCTTTTTATAAATGTGTATATATGCTTGTGTATGTGTACACTGCACACGATTCTTTATTATCTGTTTAAAATGATGGAAAACACGTATATATATAGTGAACAAGAAAAGAAAACGAGAAAAAAAAGAAAAAAAAGAAAGAGAACAGAGACTAGCTATATGGATAACAAAGGAAAAGACTAGATATATCACTGAGAAAGAAATAGAAAATGAAATACAAAAATGAAAATAGATGGCGAGTTGTATCAGTGTGACATCACTGAAACACGAACTATTTGGACTTTTTTTATGAGTGTGTAGGTTTGACTATTCTCTATCTAATGAGAACATCAAAATGAAAATTCAGTGTATTGATATACTATTTGCACGTCTTCTTATAAAAGTTTTCAAAAAATGACCGTGTCCAAAACAATATCCGGAAAACTACGTCCACCGGTCTCCTCCTTGGATTTGTGAAAACCACAGATCGCTAGCTTTAAATCTGGCGCTAATATTAGTAGCAATTGTATAAATATACAAAAAGAACTGTGATTAAATGCGATTAATCGTTCTAATTTATCAGCAGTTCTGGTTAATCGATTCCTAAATCGAATTCGCAGTGATTTCGCTGAGATAAGTGATATCAGCAAGTCGATTCATGTTTTGAAAGATATACAAATCGGCTTATTTTATTATTCAACAGACATTTTTTTACTAAATTGTGGAGCAAAGGAAGTTCTTTTTTATTAAATATTGAGTACTTTCTGAAAATTTTCTTTTCAAACTTGAATAAAGAATCAAAATTTCTTTTGAGTTTTACACATTTCAATGTCTCTTGTTTGAATTTAGACCGATTTTTCAATGAATTCATCCCACCATCGCGTAATAATTAAAAAAATTTCATTTAATTTTGAATAAACGAAATACAGAATATTCATTGTTTGAAAAAGATCTTTTTATGATAAATATATAGTTGAATTTGATATTCATTTTCCTTTTTAGTGTACTCAAAAAGTGAGTACACTACTAAAATCGGTCTGTGTGTCCGTCCGGCCGTCCGGCCGTTTACACGATAACTTTCGAAAGGAGAGTCAGATTGCGATGAAATTTTCTACACAGCTTAGTCTTGACAATATCTCGGTCGAGTTCGAAGATGAGAAGGATCCGCCAAGAAATGGCTGAGTTATCGAAAAAATTGTGATTTTTGACCAGACCATCCCTGAGGGAGGGTACGGGGATTTTTCGAAAAAAAGTTTTTTGCTCATAATTATTCACAAAATACATAAATCGACTCAGTTTTTAACGCGGATTCTGAATCTGATATTAGTTTTCAACTGAATCATAGTTTTGTGTACTCAAAAAGTGAGTACACTATAGAATAGTCAGTGTGTCCGTCCGTCCGATTGGCTGTTTACATGATAACTTTTGACAGCAGAGTCAGATTGCGATGAAAATTTCTACACAGCTTAGTCTTGACAATTTCTCGGTCGAGTTCGAAGATGAGAAGGACTGGCCGAGCCGTTCCTGAGTTATTGCAAAAATACCCATTTTTCCCTATAGCTTTCTGTGGAAAAATGGACCCATCGCGACTTTTGTAAAAGACTTTTCCTATCATAGTCAATTAAAACCCGAACTATTATATACCATTCGATAGAGAATTTCAAGAGCTACAAAATGATATATAAAACATAAAGAAACAAGAAGGTTGACTTACCTATGACAATGATAATTAAAGAGAACTAGGTTATATTTTTGTCCACGATCTAATTGATCCACAAATAGAGCTTTATCTTCCGGTCACACTGATGATACTTCGAGGTTTTCAGATATGGAGAACTCGAATGTGTACTGCACTTCCATCGAAATACTATTAGTTGTGCAGTGACCAATACAAATGAAGTTATAGGGAAAACGACTTTCTCAGGGTAACAAGGGAAAGAGTTCCAACTTGAGCTGTATTCGGTCCCATGTCCTATTGGTTTGGCAACGCGCAATAGAAATCAACATTTTAAATGGTAGATTTCACAGTATAATTTTGATATTCAGACAGTCTAGGATGATTGATTTGTATGATTCACTTTTTGAAGTACACATAACTCTCGGATTTAAATTCGAAGTTTCCGCATTTATTATAACTATGAATTCAATACTGTTTTGATGCATTTCATACGATGGTATATATTAAAATATCTTCATATGAAAATATTGATAACTAAATTTTTTCTTCTTTATAACAAATTCGAACTTTAATTTTCACCAATGATAGAAAAAATGAATATCATTGAAGCATGAATTTTTTTTCGTCATTGTCATTGCAAGTTTATATATGAAAAAGAAACGAACCTTTACTCGCACATGTCATGTCAAAGTATGCATAAGATGAATACTGTAAAGATTCATGTGTGAATAAATTGCCTTATATTTTCTTTCTCTATACATGAATGTCGAAATTTTTTTGCGTCGCTTTGATACGCCAATCCGTCGGATGCATCGATTAGATGGAGAAGAAGTCAATTGATCGCTCATCTATTGTCTTTATTTTTTGTTACATTCTCTCTCTTATATATTCGTCATAGATATCTGTTGTTCCAATTGAAATAGCCAAATAAATAATGGGCAAACTTGATGGAAAAATCGCTCTTATAACAGGTGGTTCTGAAGGTATTGGTTTTGCTACTGCACAAATGTTTATAACTGAAGGTGTCGAACATGTTTTTATTACCGGACGTCGTCAAAAAATGCTCGATGAAGCTGTGAAAAAAATTCGCAGTTCGAAAGTGACTGGGATACAAGGTGATGTGTCTAATATGGCAGATCTCGACAAAATGTTCAATATCATTGAAAAAGAAAAAGGTCGTTTAAACATTGTATTCGCTAATGCTGGTGCTGGAGAATTTATGCCTTTTGGTTCGATTACTGAAGAACATTTTGATAATATATTCAATGTTAATGTTAAAGGAATGTTGTTCAGTGTTCAAAAAGTTTTACCATTAATAGCGGATGGTGGATCAATTATCTTGAACGGAGGTGCCAGTTCGGTCAAGGGTATTCCTGCTGGAAGTGTTTTATGTGCAACAAGAGCAGCCAATCGTTCTTTTGCTCGCTGTTGGTCGATGGATTTGAAAGAGCGCAAGATTCGAGTGAACGTTATAAGTCCAGGAGCCATTGATACTCGTGCATGGGAGAAACTTGGGTTCAATGAAGAACAGAAACAAGTATTTATCTCTCAAATGCTATCAACACAACCAATTAATCGTTTTGGTACTGCTGAAGAAGTTGCTAGAGTAGCTCTTTTTCTTGCTTCAGACGATAGTAGTTATATTACAGGTATTGAAATTTTTGTTGATGGTGGTCATGCACAGATTTGAATTTGTGTTTTGTATTATCAAATAAAATTTTCATTTTCAATGAGAAAATAAAGTTAGTAAATGGCACTAGACATAATTGTGATTTAAATTGAGTCATGATCTTTCTGTACCAATAAATATCGACTAAAATTTCATTTCATTTAACAGTCTGATGAATCAAATTTTTTTCTGAAAAGTCATGATTATACAATTAAGTTTATCAACGATTTAATGATCGATAAATTCAAATTCAATTACGATTATCTTCATGGGGTAAACTGACAATCTTTTGCTTTTTCTTCGATTTCCAGTTGAGAAATGTATATTCAAAAAAGATTTTATTTGACTATTTTGCCATCGAAAACATTGGTCTTGAACTTTTGTTAAAAAGTATTTGAGTATGCAGTTGTTTTCTTTTTAGCAGAGTATTTAATTTACGATTTTGACGATTATAAAACAAATGAAATCTATTTTAAATATTTTTATGCTAGATTTATGTTTTCAAAATTAAGGCCACCCCCTCCCCATCAAAAATATCACATTTCGCGAGAATTATCCAAATTGAAATAAATTCATGGGAAAATAGCCCGTCATCTGCTCTTTCATATGCGACAAAAATTTTTACTTGGTACCTTTTCTTCCAAAAATTTCGGAAGGTTTTCTTCATCCCCTATTCGAAAAATAAGCTGTTTTTAAAAAAGCAAAAACTCATTTTTCGCTTTTCTCAGAACGTAGGTTCACGATTGTAGCGCCAGCAGAACTCTATCATAATAAAAGATAAAGTCAAATATATTTTTTTGTCTGAAAGCTTGTATCTAGGGCTAGCCCCTCTCGTGGCCCTTTTTTTTTAAAAAGCCTTTTCATTTTCATATAAGGAAACACCTCTATAAAAATAGCGCCATTTCTCAGCGGTTTTTTGAGTCATTGAACTTGTTATCCCTTTTTTCGCTTAAAAAGTAAGAGTTAAGAAAAAAAGAACCACGAGAGAGGCTGCATTCTGACATGCTCTTTCAAGCAAAAAAAAAAAGTATTTGATTTTATCTTTTACCATGCTAGACTTCTGCTGGCGCTACGAGAGAACTAATTTTGACTCTTGTTTGGTGAATATCTTCGCCAAACGTCATGATATCGGGCTGAAAGTTTTACCATAGCCATGGTTCACCAGCCCCAACATATCCTGAAAGTCTCACGCAATTCGGATGTTTCTGGGCTGAGATCCATTTCTGAGGAGGGGGGAGGGTGGCCTTAATATTTAACTCCGTTAAAATTCATTTGAATTCAATTGACATTGAATATTGATAAAAGAAAATAATTAACCCTTCGTGGTTGTCGTGGGGTCCGTGCGGACCCATTTCACAGTTTTTTATTTAATACTACATCAAGAGCTTCTGTTTCTGGCCAGTCCCCTTATCTAATCTCTAGTCCTATGTTGGTCTACAACGTCCTTATTAGAAATCAACGATAAGCCTAGCAGATGAAAAATGCAGCTGTGGGTCCGGATGGACCCTACGACAACTATGCTGTTACCAGCATATTTTTCGTCTTGATAAAGCTGCCATCTGTTGATTCACAATTTTTTTTAAATAATTTACTTTGGTTGGCTTATATGTTACATACGTTTTTAAAGCAATTGAGCAAAAGTTTGACAGATGCACAAAATCGTCGCCGTAGTCAAGAAGTTCGGCTTATGCCTAAAGTCAAACTGCGTTGCTCTCACTAGGTTATCAGGTTCACTCAGAGAGCATCAAAGATGTTAGCCAAAACATCCAAATTCATCAAGCCAAAAAAGTGTTTCCTATGTCCAGCTCAACCAGGACGAAAAGTTCGACAAACATGTTCCAACTGTGGTCAAAATGTTTGTTTGTCTCATTCCACCAGTGTCACAGCAGTAACTTGTCAAACATGCATGGAAAAACATTAGAGTATACTTTGCATTTATAAAAAAAAGATTTATATACAAACAATATCATCAGTTTGATAAAAAAAAACTGAATTTTTATTGCTTTTTCTAATAATAAAGAGAAAGATAAAAACAGCTATAGTTCAAAAAGAAAAGTTTCTTGCTTTCTCAATTGTACAATTGATTATATATATAACAACGTACGCGTAGAATCCTATCATCTAGACTAGATTGATATATTCTATGCTTTTCCCAGCTATTATCAATGCTGCTATAAAAACGATTAGAGAAGTAATTTTTTGCTATATCATACATCTTTACATTGTTTTCACGAGAGCTGACTCATTAGTTTTTATAAAGAAAGATCTCCACCTCTTCATATAAGCCAAATGAAACGCTTGAAGAAAGGAAAAAATCGTTTTTTTTGTAATTTTCTATAGGTGGGTCCAGGCGGACCCCAGGACAACTACGAAGTACAAAAATCAGGACAACCACGAAGGGTTAATACAAAAGGAACTTTTCTATTTCCCGTGTTTCATTTCAGTAATCAGCACAATAGATATTTTCTTGTCTATAAAAAGACAGAATGATTATATTTGTTACTTCTACAATAAATTTGAAAAAATTCATCGGATAAATCTCGAACATATGCCTACAGCATAATTAGAAAAATCAATTCTTAGAAATAAAATTCGAATAGAAAACGATAATGATAATCATCACATAAATTAATTGGAATTGTGTTTTTCATTTAGATTATTTTAACTATAAAAAGCGAATAGATACGTCAAATCAATTAATTCCTTTTTTTATTGATATATTTCATTAACAATTAAAAACAAATTTTCTTTTCTATTGAAAAAATCGAAAATAAAATATTCTTCGTCGAATCATGCTCGAGATTGACATAACATTGGATAATCTTTTGTTTCTGAGTGCTGATTTTTCATGTAATATGGCAATCAATTATTATATCAAAATAAATTAATATTTATCTACTTAGAGCGTAAAGCTTTATAGAAAATACACATGGATCCAAGTCAGCATTGGTTTTAACAGTAAAAACTCTTTGAAGAAAAGAGTTAATATTTAAAAGTCCTATTAATATTGAGAAGTAAATACGCATTGGTGTTCATCATTTCCTTTTATTTATATATTGATTATTTATATGAGATTTTAAACTTGCTTTTCGTACGTAATTTTTCAACAGAAAAATGAATATAATATTAAATAAAGCTTTGAACAATTCTGTTTTTCGATGTACAAGCAAAAAAGTCGTCATTAGAGAAAAAATTGGTTTGATAGAAATTGTAATCATTATCGATGAGCTAGTTACACACTTCCATCACCCAATAATATTTGCAATACCAAACAGGGTGTGGGCGTATGGGTGTGGGTGTGGGTGTGGGGGTGGGGGTGGGGTGTGGGTGTGGGTGTGGGTGTGTGGGCGGGTGTGGGTGTGGGTGAAGGTGTGAGTGAGGTGCAATGGGTCAAAGTCTTCTATTAATACTCACACCCACACCCACACCCACACCCACATCCACGCCCACACCCACACCCAGTAATGGGCAATCTTGCAAATGTTTAGAACTGTCACAGTCCGCTAATCTGTAGTTATTTTTTTGCATAATTCGTCTCTTAAATATAAAACATAAAATAAAGTGAAGTGTTGACCAGAATGAATGACGTTCTTAGTATTTTTCTTATATTCCAATGTTTTCTCGATGTTCCCACGAAAATAAATTTTATAAAATTTTGCGTTGAAACGCGTTTTTTTATTAACTCGCATGTTTTCGCTAGACTTTAAACGCAGTTTTTAAAATGCGTTTAAACGCGTTTTTTGAAGTAACAAAAACCATTCCATAAGACTAAGAAGACCTGACATTGGATGGGTGGTGTGTGTGTGAATGTGGGTGGGTGTGGGTGTGGGTGTGGGTGTGGGTGTGGGTGTGGGTATGGGTGTGGGTGCGGGTGTGGATGTGGGTGGGTGTGGGTGTGGGTGCTTTGTTTTCTCAGCAGTGCACACCCACACCCCACACCCACCCACACCCACACCACACCCACGTCCACACCCACACCCACACCCACACCCACACCCACACCCACACCCAC